TAGAAAGCATGCCAGAGGAGAAAAGACAGGGAAAAAGCCAAACGAATTTTCAAATCTTCCCTTTTCTAGGAAGAAATAAGAACGCGGGAAGCATTGCTTCCAGGAATCTGCTAGTGGCCAGGGGTCCCTGATTGTGGCATGTTTGTGCATGTATACACATACACACACGCGCGCACACACACACACACACACAGACACACAGACACACAGACTCAAAACTCCCCTCTGTGCTTCGAAAACATCCATAAATGCCCAGCGTTAGATTTATAGCTCTGAGAAGAAGCAGCCAAAAGCTTTCCAAGGAAGGCAACTTGGCTGCAGGGCCTGTGGGCTGACAAAGAAAGCCTGCAGGCTTCAGCTAGAGTTGAATAGCTAGAGATACAGCAACTTGTCCACTAAACTCCTTCTGATTTACAGTATATCTTACTCAGCATGTGAGGGAAATACCATGCAAACATGCTAACAACAATGCGCTCCAAATTCACAGAAAAGTTGACTGGCTCAGACAGACAAGATAACCTCGCAACCTCACTGGACGGTCCATCAAACTAATGTTGCATAGCCAAGCACTATTCAAACCCGGAAAATGGGGCATTTGAGCCGCACCTTTCAGTCATCGGTCTCACACACAGTCAAGATGTTTACACAGGCTGAGTAAAGGCTCACATTTTTTTTTCTTACTTAACTTTATTACTTGCACTATACCCACAGAAAAGTGCCCTGAAGCATATTTTTATGCCTTAAGCTTATTTTCTTCTCTGTTATACACTTCGACACATTCTATCTATCTATCACAATCTACAGTGATTGTGTATTGGGCTCTGAGTGTTGATAAAACGCTGATGACCTACACTGAATACTGTGCCTGAATGCATCTTGTGTAGACAGAAACAGAGCACTGTAGATGCTTCTGCTGCTCTGCCAATGTCTCATGTGTAGACACTGTAAGAAGATGGATAACACCCTCATATCTATCCATTAAATACAAGGCTATTAAAGGCTGGACACAGGGGGAAACTAGCACCTGTGTTTACCCTACTATTTTATGTTAAAATTTCAGATGTGCTGTTAGGGGGCTTTTGTTACCATTGGACAGAGCCAGGCTAGCTGTTTCCCGATTTCCACTCACTGTGCTACTCTAACTGGCTAACTGATCTTCTCTTCTCAAACTTCAGGACAAAAATAAGAGTTTATTAGGTTACATTTTGTTTTTGCTAACATTAGAGCCATGAGACCTGTGTGTCTGTCATTCTTCTTTCAGCACTGGTTTGAGGTTGCCTTTTCCCATAAGAGTGTAATTGTGTACACTGTGTGGCGTTGTTAGAGTTGGAGGCAGGACAGTGTGCTAGTTCTGGTAACAGATATCAGTAGCAGCAGTGTTAATATATAGCTACAAGTAAACCCAGGTAAAATCCCCTCCTCTCAGCAGCACTTGTGCAGTAAAAGAGTCAGCTATAACGGCTACATTTCCCATAAAAACCTCATTGTGAATGCCCAATAATGCACATTCTGACTCTATAGTCTGAAGAGAGTCCAGTGATGCTGCCTCTGTGGTCAAAAAGTGACAACTGTGAAGACATAACTCACTTTCTTAAAAGTAACTTAAAAATAGGCATTGGTTTATCAGTAAAAGCATGTTCCAGATGTTGATAGTTTTGCACAACGAGTTGATAGTTGGGAACAACACTGATATAACTAGTCTTAAGAGTACAAGTGGTATATGGTACATGAAGGGGGGCTTTCTTCTTTTAGTTTTGTGGCTTGTGTTTTAAGTTTCACAACAGCATCATTCAACCAATTTCGTTTATCATCTTGTAATGAATTTCTACGACATCTTCAACTGGTCTTGCCTTTTGTTAAAGGCCTTGTTATTGAGTGCTGCAGGGTCAATATTATGGCTGGGTACTGGTACTCAGGTTTTCAATACCTTTAAAAAGGTATCTACCAAATTAAGCCACTACCAAGTAGTATCGATATTTCTCCAGTGAAACTAAACTACATTTGATCGTTTTGCATCCATGAGTCTGTGGTGGTAAAGTTGAGTGCAGCCTGTTTGACAGTGTTAGCAGTTCAGCCTGCCAAGATGCCACCAATCATTCGAAAGTATGGCTATACTACACGTCTGTGGCATCTAAAAAAAAAAAAATGCATAAAATACTTTAGGATTATTTCAGGAAATACTGGGAATACGAGTAACATGATAAACACCTCATCAAAGCCAATGCTATCCATCCAATAGTTGTTGAGATATTTCAGTCTGGAACAAAGTGGTGGACGAATGGTTAAAAAAAAAAAAAAAA